AAAAAAAAAAAGAAATATGGTATGATCTCTGCCTTCCAGAAGTATAAAACTTAGTGGGAGAGGCAAGATAAAACTCTTAAAGTCCTATAAATAAATTCTCTGAGATTTCTGAAACTACCTCTACAGTTACATTAAAATGGAGAATGGAAATCTAGTTTATGTCCTTATAATTACCAGATAACTGGCAGTGATTAATAGGATTAATAATTTTGATTATTTACTCTAATTTATTACGGCCTGGTTTGGCCTATCTGTGCCTGTCACTTCCTGCCCCCCCTCCCTCCGCCTTTTCCACATTTAGATTAAAACTTAAAAAAAACATTTACTTGCAGGTGTTGGGTCCCTGCTAGTTCATATGTGACAGGTAATTGGACCTTTTAATTTTTTAGCTAAGGATATTAATTTGGCCACATGTTGGGTTGCCTCTTGCTACCACACAATAGCAGAAGGAGGGCGGTGGGAGGGAGGGTTCTCAAGGTTTTTGTTTTTCTTTTTTTAATCTAAAAATTGTTGCTTTTTAATTTCTAGAAAGGTATTACTGAAGGCCTGTCACCAGGTTATCAGAATTCTTATTACATCAATTTGCTAATGTGAATTATTTAGAAGAAAATATTCTAATATTAGAGTTAACATTTCTAGATTGAACACTCTTCCAGTAGCAAATAGTGATGGGGCAAAGATACTGATCTTTTATAAAAATAAGTGTGGCATTTTATAATACTACAGTAATACTGAAGTAGTTAAAAGAGCTGCTAACTAATGTAAAGATGGGATGGTGAACTAATTTTTTTAGAAGAATGTATTCCTAATTAAGTGGGACCTCTGATCGATTTGAATGATTTACATTCATTTAGATTCATTATGTGCATATGCTTGCAAATCGTATTCTCGAACTATGAAAAAAGGTATTGGCATACTTGGAAGTCTAGTGAAATCTTGTCTTTCAGTAGTAATTTATGCAGACTTTAACACTGTTTTCTTTGAAGAATAAGCTGTTTAATGAATGGATCAATACAATTCCACAAAAGTAAACCATTCAATCAAAACTATATGTTTGGGAGGCATGATAAAATCATTTTAATATGGGAAATTATGTCACAAGAGATACATTTTTAGGACCATGCAGTTTATAGCTATCGACTCTGATTTTAAGACTTTCTTTAAAGAAAACATAATCAAGTGAATTCTACATGTAACAAGAGTTTTTGTTGTTGTTTATAGGCCATATTTGTCTAGTGTTAAAGAAAGCATCTTCCTAACAGATATCTATGACTTTGATTACTGTGTAGTGGCAGGAACTGAAATCGCAGACTTGCATTTGTGTTCTGGTTCTGGTTAACTGTTAGTATTGTGCCCTCAGGAAGGTCACTACTTTCTGTAAGCCTCAGTTTCTTCATTTGTGATGATCTATTTAACTCATTGGGAATTTGTGAAGAACCAATGATACACACAAAGCCCTTACCACAATGCTGGGCACTTATGTAAACGTTAACTCTAGGCAAATGGTTGCCATTATTTAATTAAGGTGTATATGTATATATTTTAACTGCTTGGTATTAAATTTTCTTAGACTAAAACCTGCAACTTAAATTCACATCTCCCTGAGACTGTCAACTGTCAGATTCTAACACTATTTTGTGTTTTGTAGATCGGAAAAAAAAAAAAAAGTGTTTTCTTAACACTTATTCTGTATAATAATGAGTTGTCCTAGTTTAACATTCTTAAAGTTTAGTATTTGAAAAATCCTAAATGTCAATATTTAGGAACTTCTCGATCAGGATCCTTAGTTCACCTTAGCTCTTTCTGTGCTGAATTTCTTCCATGTTTTCCAACAGTGTACTACTCTCATCTGTGGTCAGTTTTCTACACCCAGGGCAGTCCTCTCTGCGTACCTCGTAACCACCACAACTGCCTTGTCCCACATGTGTGTCCTGTCTGTTAGTACTGCAGGGCTTTGCTTAAACGTTTCTCTGTCAAGAAGGCATTCCAAACTCTGTGACCTTAAATTCTCCTTCTAGATATTCTTATGGCTCTTCATACTTCTCTACTAAATGTGTACATTATACGTATTGTAATTATTAGTACCACTACTCTTTTATCATTTTTATTATTTAACTGTCCTCCCTTCTAGAATGCATACCCCATTAGGACAGGGCTGTATCTCTCTTGCTCACTGCTCTTACAGAGGTTAGCATTTGAAAGTTGGAAAGCAGCAGAGTTGGAAAATAGTGTCAAGGCCAGGGAGAGCTGCCTGGAGGTGGGGGTGGGGCGTGCACAGTGCGGCTTCTGTTGGACAGCTGTTAGGTGTGCAGGTGTGAACACAGGTGCCCTGCTGCCTGCCCTTTGAGTATCTAGCAAGAACCTCCCTGTAGAGACCTCTAACTTCCCAGTAGAGACCTTGGATTGTGAAGTGCTTTATAAATCTAAGGATCTCTCAATTTTTATCACTATAGAGCATTCAAACTTTGCTAGAAAGAGGCTGATTCCTCTTGTTGGAGGTGAAACCCAGTTATGACTAGTTCAGGAACTGGTCAGCATTTTATTTTGATGGCATTTTGTCGAACTTAGTTAACTCCCAAAAGTAAAATCCTTTCCCCGGGAGAAGTGAATGAAGTCTTGGTACCTGTGCTATGAATGTTATCTGTAAAAAGAGGTGATGTGGTTCTGGGGGTTGACGTGTATTAACTTCAACCCATTCCCCCTTTCCTGGTCCCAGTTTGGGATACGGGGACCCAGAAAGGGGTGTGTATGTGGGGGGGGTGCACATGCACACACATGTCCTGCACATGTATGTTGGTGGAAGATTTGCAAGATATTTTCACTCTTGAGAATTAGAGAAGGATGATGGCTATACAGAATGCTCTTCCTACAGACTTTTGGTGAGAGTAGTGTATCTTTCTGTACAGAGGCATGTTGCATGTCAAATTGTCATTGCCATGGTTTGTTATTTCCATCTACTAAGTTTTCTGTGAGCAAAATAAGTCCATTCTGGATTTTGAATATTAGACGAGCAGAAGACATTTCTAAAACATTACTATCTTATTAGAAATTAATCTTCAAGAATGTAAAATATTTGAAATTTAACAGCCCACTGACCTTGTATGTTGAAATAATTTGCTAAAAAAAATCCAGTACATGAATTTGGAGCCACTTAATTCCTCACATGCATTTTAGTGTATAGGCTTAGGAAATTCTGCTAAATGTATGCTCTTATTTCTGGTTATTTTAAGTCAGTTAAGTTTGATTATGATTTTTTCCTTCAGGTAACATTTTGAGAAGCAAATATTACAAATAAATTGTGAATGTAAATGAAAAACATTACATAGACTTTCATCATTGCTGAAAGTATGCCCCTAAGTACATTTGCTCCATTTTTATGTTTTCTTATGATTTGATATTATGTTTTAAAATCATTTTATCATTTTACTTCCAAGAAATTCATCAAGATCCATGTATATTAGTTTGAATTTGAATTTCTAGATGAGATGGTAGATCATAAGTGTTCAAAAATGATTCCTTGAAATTAACAGAACATTATACTAACATCATACTTATGCTTATGGCAGGAGACTCAAAATATTTTCTGTTTGCATTTTTGTGTGCAGATACTTGTCTCCCCACCATCAAACAGACAAACAAAAATGAAACAAAGGCTCTGAGAGACTTGAAATGATCTTTGGCCAAAGCCAAAGTTTTGACTATTAAATATTAGTGTACTTCATTTAATAAGTGTGTTCTTATTCCTCTTTTGTAGATTTAAGTTTTGTATGTCACATTTGAAGTTTACTCAGAAGAACTTTAATTTTAAATGAATCCTCTTCTAAAGAAAAATATCTCACGTAAATAATCAGTGAATCATTTCTTCCTTGAAATGTAAATTTTTATAAACTAGAGTTTTCAGTTATTCTGTGTAGGGTACCTGGCTAAAGTACCTGGCTTTAAGCCTGATCTATAAAATGAAATAAAGATAAATTGGACATGAATGTATACTTTACAAAATAGTTCCGTGGATAGCATCAGAAGCACAGGTTTTTGAAATCCAGTATATTTGAGTTTAAAATTTGACCCAGCTCTCTGAGCCTGAGCAAAAGATATAACTGTTTTCACTCTTGGATTCCCATACAAGACATGGAGCTAATACCTACCAAAAAGAGTAGACAGGTAAAGACTGTAGTGGAAAGTGAAACTTTATATATTAAACAAATTATCATCAGTCGCCTCTCAGTGGGAGTGGAGACCAGTTCCTCAGGTACATTTAAAAGAGAAAGTATATGAAATGGAATATGAAGTTTTTTGGCATTCAAAAAGATTTCAGAAAATATACCTTCATTTAAAACATAATAAACTAGTTATCAGAGGAAGTATAAAAAGTGCTCATAATTGTTAGAATCTTGAACTTCTACACTGGCATTTATTTTCCACTCTATTATTTAGAACACTTAAATTTGCAAATTACTGTGATCAAATCTAGTGTAGTAAAAAGTTTGTCTTACTTTTATAGCCTCATTTTTCAATCAGTATCTGGCTCTGAATAAAAATATCTTTTCTGAAGCATGAGAGTAATTTGTAAAGAATATTCTGAAATAAGATTGGGTAACATTATATAGAGAGGGAAGGCATTGAAATCTGCTAGAAGTCGATTATTTTCCTTTCAGTCATTAGAAAACAGAGCATCTCCCTAAATTTCTGTTTTCCTTTGGGCTTGATCACCTTCTTTCAGCACTTGACTACTTTCTAATGGAAGATTTCCTTTTGAAGCCAGGGGAATTTCCTCTGTAGTAAAGATATTGTTACCTAATAAATGGAAAGCAGACCCTAACAGTATAAAAATTAAGGGATGGTGGAGACGAACCATGAGAGACTATGGACTCGAGAAACAAACTGAGGGTTCTAGAGGGGATGGGGTGGGGGGATGGGTTAGCCTGGTGATGGGTATTAAAGAGGGCACATTCTGCATGGAGCATTGGGTGTTATACGCAAACAATGAATCATGGAACACTACATCAAAAACTAATGTTATGTGTAATGTATGGTGATTAACATAACATAATAATAAAAAAAATTAAGGGATGGTGGAATAGAGAAAACTCTTTCCTATTCAGCATCCAGTATATGATTGGGATCTCAACTAGTGATTTATTTGAAACATACAATTGAAGCTTTATAGTAATATGAGAAGGGAAGTGTGTGGATTTCATACTAAACATTTTTTTAATTTTTTGATTTCAGTTTTGTGAATGAAACTATTTGGATAATACTTTTCATTTAGATTACACAGGTATTTTTAAAAATCATTTTAACTCCTTTTTTCAGAAGGCATGTTTGAAAAGTGTGTGTGTTTCTTTAAAAGTATGTGGTATATACATATATACATACAAATACATATGTATATATGAGATAACACAAAATTATATAGAGTAAAAGTTTCCCTGTTGCTTACCACCACCAAAAACACCACCACAAGACCAAAAACCCACCATCAAAACCAAAGAAGCCGCTATTTGGTGTATATCCTTTCAGAAGTTTTTTGATATATTTACAAACTACTCACTGTCTGCAACTTGCCATTTTTAATTTAATAATACATTTTGGACTTATTTCTATGTCAGTCAGGAAAGCCTTTTAAGCTTGTTTTGTTTTCTATGGCATGTATATGTTTTAATCTTAAAACTTTTAAAGAAATAAACTCGAGGCATTTATTTTTTTCCATAAAATACTTACTTAATCATTTACCACATAGGCACTAAGGATATTGAAATGAAGATGTAGCTCCCTGACCTCAAGGACTTATATAGTGATTTTTATTGTTTCAGTACACAAAAATAATATAAACGTCAAAGATACTTTCTAACTGCAAATTTAGCAAGTCTTACTGAAGAGGAGTCCGGTGACTCCAGGGTCTTTACATACCTCTCTGAGGTGCTTTGCATGTGAATTTTATGTCTCCCACAAAACCTGAAACTCAGTAAATACCAGCTTATTGATTTGAATATGACAATATCTTAGCCATATATTTCATATTCATAGATCATCTGCTACAATGCAGATATGGTTTCTGATGTTTCTTTTATTAAATACTAGATGCCTTTGTTATCAAGGGCTTCATCTTGATTAGCTCTATCTCCTCCTCCTCCTCCTGTCTCCCGTTATTCCTAGTTCAGAATAATTACTGAAACATAATTTAGTCTGGCAGTTTATTGTTAAGAATTCAGAGCCCAGAAGGTAATTGTTGTGTCTGTCTACTGTTCATGAGGCTTGTTACTGTACATATAATACCACTGGGCT